TGTTATTTCATTGATCTGCATCCAGAAATACAGTTTGAGCCATCTGGTGACTTTCTTTCTTGAATTAATCAAGCAGAAAAGACAATTCTCTATGATCATTTTTATTTTACAAATGTTTGATAATCAAATTGTGTTAGTTTACTCAATGTTTACAGGTTGAAGAAAACTACTCATTTTTATTTTACATAAACAGTAAGTAATGATTTTTATTCCTCATTCAAAGAAGAAATCAGGTTAATATGCATTTCTTGATTTTCTGTCTTCAATGAGCCAAGTTTTGTAAGTATGTTAAAAGTCAGGTTTCGGTCAACTAAAATGTTTACCGAGAAAAAATGTCATGTTTAATCTTTACAGAAGATACAGAAGAGTTTGACTCCACGAAGTCTGGTTTTCTGCAATAATCTTTCTGTCTGTTGTTAAACAATCTCATTCTCTGACCTCGACTTATGATAACATCTTACATACAAACCACACCTTTTCCTGGTCCATCGACCAATCAAAAAGCTCTCAAATGACCCGGAAGTCGACCCATTTAAAATGTGGCAACTTCCCAGTTCATGTAGTTGCGGAGTTGCTCCGGTTGCTGCAAGTTGCTGCGCTCAGAAATGAGTTCAACTAGAGAGTGCAAAAGTCTGAAGTCTGAAACCAGACGCTGAAGATTAATGGAGCTAAAAAGAGTCTGATGCTGCAGAACTCTGAGAGTTCCACAAAGAGAGTGCTGATGAGTTGATGGAGTTAGAGTTCTTGGATGCAAACGCGTTCAGGATGATCCAGAGACGTTTTGGGATTATAACTTCTGTTTGAACAACCTCGTACGACTCTTCGAAGGATTTCAGCTGCTCTCAACGGAGACGCTGAAAGAGTCAAGGAAGGATCCTATACCGAGCTGATTTATCATCAACCAGGTAACGGTTTCTACTTCGACAAGCGTACCGTCGCAAGCTGAGATCTGATGGAGCGTGCACGTTTTCTGGTCAAACAGATTAATTCCCTCACAAATCTCTCTGTAAGATAAATCTCCATTTCCATCTTAAACTCTGCTTTCTCTTAAAATCAGTACAGATAATTTAGAAATATCTGAAGCAAAGTCCTCAATCACCGCCGTGTGATTGAAGCCCATTTTCTGTGAAACTTGTCTGTTATTATTTTCATATTTTGCCAAATTAATGTAAATGTTTGATGTTAAACTTTGATTCTGAAAATAAATGACCGCATTCATTTTGATGGGTCAAACATAAATAACGTCTCTCGTTACATTTCTGTTAAGATTCAATGCACGACATTTACACAGTCAGAAAGATGAGGAACTCGTGAAAAGTATGCATATATTTCCCTATATGTCATACTACATCCTATCTCACTGATCTTCTGCAGCCATATGTCCCACCGTGCTCTCTGAGGTCAGCAGACCAGATGCTTCTCTCAGTCCCAGAAACCCGTCGTAAGCTCAGAGGTGACAGGGCTTTCTCTGTCGCAGGTCCACGACTGTGGAATGAGTTGCCACTGAGTGTCTGGCAGGCTCCCACACTCTCAGTCTTTAAGTCTCGCTTGAAGACCCACTTCTATTCTCTTGCCTTTAACACGATGTGATTTGTTTTGGTCCGGTCTGTTCTCTACTCTGTTGGCCATTTTAGTTAGCTTCTGCTGCTATTTGTATCTGTATTTCTATTTTATGTTTTCCTGTCTGCTGTGCATGTTTGTTTCTTTTGTACAGCACTTTGGTTGGCCTTGTTGCTGTTTTAAGTGCTATATAAATAAATTGGTATGGTATGGTACATTTTTGTGTGTAGTACCTTTTTTTTACCACTGGATGGCAGTATAAGACCGTTTGAATCAAAGGATGGATAGTGAGGGAGCGAGCAGCGTGTTGTTTTAAGAAAAGTGGGAGGGAGGCTCCTTGACGTGACACGGGCTGTCTCTCAATCCTTTTTTTCGGTTCTCAAAATGGCTGATGTTCGGTGTGTTTGAGCTCTTTAGCATAACATTTTTCACCCAAAGCTTTTAATAAAAATCAGTAAACAAGTTGTCAGCTTCTTTTAGCAGAGAAAAACAACTTTTTACACAAAGGCACGGGTTTCAATCATAAATTTTGGAGCTTCAACAAGACGGTTTGGTTGAAGTTCAGAGGAGATTGGGCTTTTTCAGTCATGGGCCCTAAACTCTGGAACAATCTGCCCCTCAACATTAGACAGACCACTTCACTTCCTGCTTTTAAATCCCTCCTTAAAACACACCTGACGTTTAACACAGTGTGAACTGATTTATTATTTTATTCTGTGTTTTTATGCTTTTCTTTTGATGCTTTTAACTAATTTTTGTACCATCATTATTTTTATTTTTTCGTTGATTTTTATTGTTAAGCCCTTTGGCAGCAGCTGCTTTTTTAAATGTGCTTCATAAATAAAGTTGACTTATTTGTAAGAAAAGTTCAAACCTGCTCCTACCTCACTTCCTGTGAAGTGGCACAGAGGAAGAGTGGGGGCTCCACCTTGATCTCTGCTGGGAAGTTTTCCAAAGTGATACTTGGCCAAGCTGATGAGTTCCTCGTGACAAACACCTGATCACAAACAGACGGCAGTTTCAGAGGAACATGTCAAAGTAATCTCGTTTCATTTTGCCTAATAAAGACAAAAACAAGTGCATGCTGTAAATTATTTAACCGTCACCGTTTGTTTAGCTGACACTACTGAAACACACAAGGAGAGAGAGAGTCTGACCTCCAGCAGCAGCCAGAACTATTCTTGGTCCTTTGTAGTGAGTGGTGATGTACTCCACCAGGTCTCCTCTGTTGATCGTCCTGCAGCACCAACACACAACCGACACGTGAACGACATGCATCAGAAACCATCCAGCTGCAATAACAGCAGTGTGACCCTACTTGATGTTCTCAGTGGGGCCCAGGATGGTCCTGCCCAGTGCTGTGGACTGGTACGCTGTGGCGTGCAGGTAATCAAAAACCACTTCCTGCAGATTGGTCTCTACTTCCTGCATCTCTCTGAGGATCACGCCTCGCTCCCTCTCGATCTCCGCCTCACCAAGCATGCTGTTCTGGATGATGTCGGCCAGGATTTCAACAGCTTGACACACAACGCAGACATTTGTCTTAGTTAAGGATGAAGCTGCACATCATTAAACAGCCTGGTGGGCTGAAATACTTCAAGAACGATATGAAGCACATTTTACTGTGAGCATTTATTTAAGATGTACTGTCCATGAATAGTTACACTACACTAAGGAAGGTCTCTCTTTCCTTGATCAAAGTTTGACACCTGCTACAGTTAGACAGATGTTCCAGTCTAACTCCACACCTGC